CCCCCCCCCCCCCCCCCCCCCCAGTCGTGCCTGAGTTTTCCTTCGACTCAGGCAGCGTCGTGCGTTACCAGCTCAGAGGAGGCGGCAGCTCGCGTCGCACGAGCGTCCAGCTGCTCCTCAGAACCAGAGCCACCTCGGGCACCCTGCTCTCCGTGACGTCCCGGGAAGCCAACGAGTTCATCGTCCTGGAGGTGAGTCGACGCTTCGACACATTTCTCCTCCTCAGAATATCAGGTTTTTTAACCGGCTGTGAAATTGAATGACTTCCTATGAAATCTTCGTCGCTCAGGTCACGGAGGGTCACCTCACTGTTCGCGCCAACCTCGGTGACGGCGCCGGCGCCCTGCGTCTCCCCAGTCAGCGGGTAGACGTCGGCCAGTGGGTCCTGGTCAGCCTCAGTCGCCATGACAACGTGTTCACCCTGCGGCTGGAGCAGGGCGGAGGCTCACGGGAGGTCCAGGCGCGACTGGGGAGCCGGAAGGAGATCGTGGTCCATCCTGCCAGCGTGATGGTCGGAAACGGGCCGAACGCCGGAGACAAGGCGTCAGACTTTCAGGGTGAGATGTGGATCTGATCTGGAGTCAGTTGATGTTTCACAAGGACGCTGTCATTGAGTGAACCGCCGCCTCAGTCTAAGTCTCAGATGTGATGATCCATGATCGTGGATCTATCGTCCGTCTGTCACGCAGTATCTCAGACTCTGTCTCCTCCCCAGGCTGCCTGCGGGACGTGCGTTTTAACGGTCAGGTCCTCCCTCTGGACGGGCAGAGCCGGGACCTTGTGACGGTGCTGGAGAAGCAGGGCGTCACCTCAGGGTGCTCCAGCGACGCCTGCAGCGGCCAACCCTGCCGTAGCCCGCTGCACTGCATCGACCTGTGGAGGAAGCACCAGTGCAGGTAGGAGACGCCCAAACTGAGGACACGCCTCCACTGGTCTCTGGTGTAGAGTAATAGTTCTACTCTCTGTGTCGTGTCCCAGGTGTCCTGGCGGTCAGGTGACGGTGACCGATGACTCGGGTCAGCAGCATTGCAAGCCGTCTCCATGCGGACTTTATTCGTGCAGAAACGGCGGCACATGCCAGGCGCTGTCGGCCGACAGCTACCGGTGCCGGTGTCAGGAGGGGTTCAGAGGTCAGCGCTGCGAGCTGGGGCAGGTCAAAGGTCACCGGCTGGGCGCCCTCAGTCCCAGCTCCATCCTCGCCATCAGCATGTGTCTACTCGTCTTCTTCGGTGAGAGACAAGAGGTTTTTACTGGTTCACATCAATGAATTTATATAAAGATCGACGATGATGGATCGCCCCCTGGTGGCAGGCTGCAGTATTAACTATAAACAAAGGACAAAGGAGAGAGTACTGGTTTAATAAATGTTTTTTCAATCAGGCGATCATCACTCAGTTTCTGAAGGTTTCAGTCACTTTGAAATAAAGATGAGTGAGAACTAACACACACACACACACACACACACACAGAGTTGTGTAGCAGTGTGTTGTTACCTCGATCAGTTGACGTACGAGGCTTCAGTTTCATAAAGCTTCAGTTTTTATGTGAACATCATGTTCGGGGTGCGTTTGGAAGCAGGTTCCTCCTCAGAAAATGTCCGTGGAGGTTAATTTAGGAAATGACTCCGAGTGAAGGACATTAAAGTCTGATTCTCCAGCTTCTGGTGACTCGTTAGTGTTTCACTGAAGCGATTCTAATAATGTGGGTGAAAGAGCATTGTACTGATTTATTGAGACTAAATGGCTCCACAGAGCAGCTTTAATGAGCTGCTGCTGCAGACGTACAGGAAGGAAATGAAACCTGTCCCAGTGGTGCAAGGATGCATATTTATACTGTGTGTGTGTGTGTGTGTGTGTGTGTGTGTGTGTAGCGGTGCTGGTGGCGGTGACGGTGTGGAACCAGAAAGGCAGCCGCAACAAGTTCAGGAAGCGCGGAGTTTACCACATCCCTGCAGAACACGAGAGCTGGGAGGACATCCGAGAAAACATCCTGAACTACAACGAGGAGGGGGGGGGCGAGCAGGACCAGGTACACACACACACACACACACACACACACACACACACACACACACACACANTCTGTCTGTCGTGTGTCGTTTTGTGTGTCTGAGTGTAGCTTCTGCCTGGCTCAGCCCCAGTAATAATGCCTGTTCTTTGTATGAGTAAAGCATAGCAGTAAAACACACATAGACAAACACAGACACACAGGCCCTGATGTTGTGACTGCAACTGAATCCCAATGGAAAAGAGAAGTCTTGTTTATCACATAATGTGAGGCACACACACATCAATACACACACACACACAAACAAAAAACACAAAAACATAAAAAGGATGCCATTCTGTCTTCTACCTGAGGGCGTATGACTGAGACTTAAAGCAATGTTCTTTTCTGTCTAAGCACCTGATAATCCCTGCAGGCTGGCAGCAGGCAAGGGAAAGTCAATCTCTGCACACACGCGCACACTACCTAGCTAACCATAATTTGGAAGTTTAATGAAAAAATTCCATATAGTTTTTTGAGTCCTACTCTGGAAGCAAATGATTACAGATCACTCACACACTCTCACACACTCTCACACACTCTCTCTCACACACACACACACACACACACACACACACACACACACACACACACACACAGAATGTAGATCAGAGCTTCCATTTTTAATTTCAGTCACATGACCTCGAGCTGAACGACTCGCAGACAGAAGATAAAACACATCGTGACCTTCATGTTTGTTTTTTATTTGTCACATAATAAATAATGTATCAAATAAACATGTTAAAATAAAACTGGAGCGTTTGAACGTTGTTGTAAATATTTTGAACAAGGTAACGACACGAGTTTCACATTAGATTATTATTTAATTCATTGCAGCAGCTGTTTCCTGTTTTTGTGAGGATATCGTTCTTTGAACTGATGTTTAGTTGTGATTTAAATTAAATTTAAATGAATAGAATAAATACATTTACACCCTAAAACACGAGAAACAGTGAAATGATCCTTTAACTGAGTAACAAACATATGAACCTCTCAAACTGAACCTAGTGTCATGTCTGCAGCTGTACCTAATAAAGTGCTCAGGCTACGTAACCCAGTGATGTGAGGCTTCACTCCTCCTCCTCTTCCTTTAGAACGGATATGACATCACAGAGTTGAAGCGTCCTCTGTGCTCCAGCCTGTCCCAGTCTTCGTCCTGCACCACCGCCCCGCTCATCAAATCCTCCCCCGGCTCCCAGGAGGAGGTTCACCCGTCCGGCTCCTCCTGCAGCTCAGGAGCCCCGTACCTCAGCATCCCCCATCACCACCATCATCAGCACGCCGCCGTCGCCAGCTACAGCAGCGACGCAGCCTACGCCAACTACACCGCTCTCGCTGGCAGGGAAGTGGAGACGAGCAACGCAGGCAGTTGCGCTGACACCGGCCACCAGGGGTCCCGCTCCCACGTGGACTTTAAGAGCTATGTGGCACGGATCATCTGGGAGGCCGACAATGACAGTGAGGCGTTCCCGCCGGACGCCTATCACGTCTGGTGCGTGGAGGGCTCGGGGTCGTCGGTGGGAAGCCTCAGCTCGCTGGGGTCGGTCGCATCCCGTGGAAACATCGACGCCAGTCAGGGCAACGCGGAGGAAGAGGAAGATGACGAAGGAGGGTTTGTGTGCGACAGGCTGTCACGATGGGGCCCGAGGTTCCAGGCTCTGAGCAACATGTACGACCGGCCACAGCTGAGCCTCACGTACAAGGACGCAATAACCTACATACAGAGGAGCCACAGTCAGGACCCTCTGCCTCAACACCACTAGGGGGCACTACACCCCCCCACACACACCTACACACACCTACACACACACTGAACAGACTGGAGGGGGCGCTGTGCTGCGTTCACGTCACATTATTAATTGAGGAATAATAAAAGTGTTGAAAATAATATTTTTGCAATAAAAAGAGGAGTCACGTGACGTTTGCTCCGAATCGTCTTGTTCATGAAATGATGACGGGTCGCAGGTAGAGTTGTGTTGCCCCGCCCACAGGTGAGGCGGAGCTCATATGACTGAGTCAGAAAGGTGTCAGTCAAACCCCCTGGGGACACGCCCACACAGGGCACACAGGGCAGCACACTCCACCTGAGGAAAGCGTCAGTGCTGATTGGCTGTTGGCTCAGCAGGAAGTCAGTGATCATGTGACGGCTGAAGCACGACGAGCAAACAGAGAAACTCCAACGTGAGTAAAATCTGAACATAATTATTTTCATCCATCGTCTTATTCTTCGTTTCTTTCACACGAGACAAAGAAAAATGATGATCAACACAAACAAACGTCAAACGATGTGAAAACACATCGATGGCGTCTTTTATGTGCGAGCAGCTTTTCTCAGCCGTGACGTGAACGCAGCAGTTTAACGTTCATCACGTGACCCTGAACATTCATCACATGACCCTGAACGTTCTTTGTTGTGGTTTAAAGTTGAGATCACATCGAGAGAAGTTCGTGCATCAGCTTTACACAGAAACATTTTTCTGAAACTATTTATTTTTCCTTTCATTCGGTTTGTTTTGCTGGATTTATTTTGTTCTCTTCTTCTCCTGGTTGAACCACGTGAAGGTCCTGACGGGAGAAGTCTCCGTTCTGCTTTAAGGTCGTTTGAATCTTTTCATTTCCGTGTTTTGACCACAGCTACGAACAAAACGATCCCTGAAGGACAAACATCTTTTCTTAAGAAACTGTTTCTACAGATGCAGCCGACCTCAGACAAACTCCGAGCCTTTCATTTCTCTCTTCAGACGAGTCGACAGTTAAACCAGATGAATAAAAAAACCGGTTTTAACTTCTCGAGGTTTCCAACATGTAAAATAAAGTTGAATAGTTTGTTTTCAGATGATTATTTTTTTACTCCCTTGTAGAAACTTCCCAGAAGCTTTTCCAGTCGGATGTGCTCCGTGTCCGTGTTTGCGTGACGTCACGTTTCAGTGTTTCGTTTGTTTTGAGGAAGAAGCTCGTCTTCTCTGAACGTTTACAAACGTAGAAGCTGCGTCGCCTCACGAACCCGTCGACGCTCAGAGTCTGCGTCACGTTTGAAAATGTTTTTTATTAATGAAACTATTGAAGAAGCACAAAACAAACCCAGACTCAGTCACCGTGAATTATGGGTAAATGGTGTCGAAGCGACGCTGCCGTTAATCAACTGGTGACAGAAAAAAAAAACCCTTGTCTCTCAGGGCACGTTTCACGATGTCAAAACAAATGTGTTGCACTAATTTAAACCAACTTTATCAGTGAAACATTTAAGTTCAAGTTAAATAATAAATAAAGTTTAGTTGGAACTCGACTTAAAAAAGATCCAGTTCCTTGAGGGTCACTGATTTAAATGTAATCTGAAACCTCACCACTAGGTGTCACTAAGCACATTTGGTATTTTGGTTTTATGGCTCTGCACTGGCGACACCTAGTGGCCGGAGGCTGTATGTATTCGGGTTGTCTGTCCGTCACATTGTTGTGGACACAATATCTCGAGAACACCTCGAGAGAATTTCTTTAAATTTGGTACAAATATTAATTTGGACTCAAAGATGAACCGATTCGATTCTAAAGGTCAAAGGTCACAGTGAGCTGCTCTGGTGGATCTGTGCAGTGAATCTAGTTTGTTTATTGATTTATTATATTCAGATTCAACTGGTGATAAATTTAGTTTTGTGCTCGTTCAACAGTTTGTTCATTTCTCAGCTTCTTTAAAAACCAGCGATAGTTCGTGTGAAAACGTGATATTTTTTATTTGACTTTTTTTAAGAAAGAAAGTGAAAATGTTTTGTTTCGACACTTTAACCAGCGTCGTGTCTGATGGTCGTTTCCCAGCCTACCTCTCGTCTTCGTCACAACGCCGCCCGATGATGAATGTAGTTTTATAAAAAACCTCCTGGGTTTTCAGGAGACGGTCGGAGAGTCCGAGCGGACGAAGAACAGTCGGAGATTTAACTGAATTTAATCTCACAGGAGTCGTGCGTGAATCAATCCTGGATAAATACTTTTATCCTAAAGTCAGAATATTTGCTGCTGAGACTTTAGTTTTTTCCTCAACTCATGGTCCCGTTGATTAAAACCTAAATGGAATGAGCACAGTTTCAACACAGTTTATTTTGAAAGAGCTGACGTGAAGCTCCAGATGTTTTCACCTGTTCCACATCTGCTCATGTTTGTTGTGAATCCAGTGTTTTTCACTGCTGATCTGAACCATGTGACGTACATATGAACGTTTTCTAGAAACCCGACAGAAAATATTCCTTTTGTATTCGACTTTTAATAAAAAGACTTTTCCCCAAACATTTTGATTTTGAAGAATTTTATTTGAAGGACGGACAGAGAAAGACAAACTCCTCTGATCAGGATCCATGAGGTGAATTATTCACTGTTACAGATTTGAGAAGAATCCTGGATCGGTTCTCTTCAGTTCTGCAGATGATTAAAGATTCAATGTAAGAAGAAAGAAGAGTTTAGTGAATGAACGATGAGGAACAGAACAGTTATTTGCTGATATTGGTGCAACAGCGTCACAGTGTGGTGACCTCAGGAACTGCAGAGCAGTTGGTGGTTTTCTGATATTTTCACACTCCTTTTTTATCTTGACCTGTGAAAGTAACAGAGTAAATCTACTCTACTTTCTGAAGCATGTATTCATTACTTAAGTACTGTGTTTTTCTTTCAACCTTTCCTGCTCCAGTAACTTTGAGTTACTTTATAAACAAGAGGTCAACCACAGAGCGAGAAACAAAACCAGACTCAGTCCAAATTCAATTCAAACTATGTAAACAGGCAATTTACAGTTTTACTCTACGTGAACAAGATAAAACGAACCTTCAATTACAGTAATCTGTGTGTGTGAGTCAGCAGCATCTGAAGAGACAAAACACCCTGTCACACACACACACACACGCACACACACACACACACACACACACAGACAACAAATGACCAGTCTGAAAAGTTGCACTGAGCTGCAGATTCAAACTTTGTTTCATGTACTGTTGCTGCCCTCCTGTGGCAGAGCACAGTACTGCTGACTCACTCACTCACTCTCAAACTCTCTCTCTCTCTCACTCACTCACTCACTCTCTCTCTCACTCACTCACTCACTCACTCACTCTCTCACTCACTCACTCTCTCATT